CATTTTTTTTTACCACCGGTTCTTGTGGGCGTGGCTTGGTGGGTATGGCAGGGGAAGGATACTGTAAAATCTCCAGTCGGGTGGTATTTGCCGGCCCGAACTTCCCAAAATTTCCACTACCGGTTCTCCAGAACTGGTCAGAACTTGCTGAATACCACCTCTGGTATGCAATGTTTCTCAAGCTTGGCAATATTAAGATGTGTGGACTACAACTTCCAGAATTCCCTAGCCAGCTATACTTGCTGGGGACTTCTGGGTGTTTCAGTCCACACATCTTATAGTTGATAATGTTGAGAAAACTTGTTAGTATGTCATCAATTTCAGATAACTAACTGAGCTATAACTTTCATGCTGCCATAACAAAGAAGTTCGCACATTCAGCAAATCTTGGATCCAATACCTAAGATACTTATCCTCATCATAATCTAGATAATAGGAATTCAGGACTTTGAGGACATTTTCCTGCCAGGTGAATATAAAGAACTATGAAGAAGGCCATGAGGTAGAGCCACCATTTGACCTGGCAGTATACACAGAACCTTATATTAGGAAAATATGATTGTGTTGCTTACTGATTCCTCCTTTTGGCAAATTTTTGTCTGTGAAAGTCTATCTATAAAGTCTTATTTAGTTACATTTGTTCAGTGATTTGTTTTCAGCCTATTCTATCATGGAGGAAATCTTGTGATAAATGTCCTGTCACCTTCAAAAATGTATGAAACAATCTGATCTCTTAAGTTGCTGAGCTGATTCAACATAGCTATCTACGAAAGAGAGCAAATTGAAACGTTAAAAAATGCTGATTGTCACATATTCAGAGTTTAAGGGCTCCAAAACTGTTAATTAGCTAGACTGGTGCACTTTTACATAAATATATACAATTATAATAAGAGGCAACACAGTGCCTATGAATAATAAATTAATATTTCTAAAAAGTTATTTTACTTTCAAAAATTAAGTAGAAAGGTTGCCTAGACTAAAGCAAGTTGCCACTCCCTATTTTTATTCACACAAAGACCCTTGAAGTCTTCGTGGGTATCCCAAACATTCTTAAAAAGCAAAATACAGGTAGTCTTCAACTTACCACATAACTGAGCCCAAAATTTGTGTTGCTAAGTGAGAAATGTGTTGAGTTTTGCCCCATTTTATGATTTTTTTTTGCCACATTTGTTAAGTGAATGCAGTTGTTGCAGTTGTTAAATTAGTAACACAATTGTTAAGTGAATCCAGTTTCCCCATTGACTTTGCTTGTCAGGTCATGAAAGGGGATCAAATGACTCCAGGACACTGCAACCGTCATGTGAGCCAGTTGTCAAGCATCTGAATGTAATCATGTGGTCATGGGGATGTTGCAATGGTCATAAGTGTGAAAAATGGTCATAAGTCACTTTTTTCAGTGATGTTGTAACTTCGAACAGTCACTAAACGAACTGTTGTGTAGTTGCAGGTGACAGATTTCTGTCTTGCACATGCATAATATGCCTTCCCTGTGTTTTGAAGATTGGAGTTGCTTTATTTATAAGAACACCCACAAAATTCTGTGTTAATTCCAAACACACAAGCCACAGAGAAGCTGTTCCTTTTCATTTTAAAATGCATTTTACTTGGCAGATCAATTTAAGCAGATCAGAAAGAGCCTAAAGCTTATTAAAACCTTCTTCAAAAATTATAGTCACAGAATACCCAACCAAGCAATTCATCTCAAACTAAACTACATTGAATAGAGGGAAGTAATCAATTTGATTTGAAAGAAAATAAATATTTCACACACACACTTGTAACACCACCACCATTTTTGTTTTTCTAATTGCTCTTATTCTTCTTGTTCTCCCTGCCATTTTGATTCCTCTACACAGGGCCGGCAATTTATATCCTTAATTCATTGAATATACAGAATAATTTTTTCTGTAATTTCCAGAGCCTCTTCTAACTCTGGTGTCAAATTATAATACTGTACAACAAGTGCCAGGTGTAGACGGCACTGTTTCATTCCATTTCTTAATAATGAAAAAAGAAACAAACCTGAAGTTTTACATCTAAAATAGAGTGCAAAAAAATAAAATAAAATACCAACTCATCAAAAAATTATTCTGAGACCCTGAAAGATTTTGTGTCTTGACTTTGCTGTAGTGCTTTACCATCCTATCCTTGCTCTGTTTTCTTGCAAGTTAAGTCTGGTTGCTGGTTATTCGGCGTGTTAGAGAAATTTGCACTTCAGTTATTATAATGTGCTTGGGTATGCTGTACATTCTAGACAATATCCAGATAATTCAAACACCCAATAGGTCAAACTTTCCCAAGCAAGTTTCCCCAGATTAATAATAAGGTGCTCCAACATTTTAGTCTAGTGAAGAGACGGATCAGGGGAGACATTATAGCAGTCTTCTAATATTTGAGGGGCTGCCACAGAGAAGAAGGGGTCAAGCTATTTTCTAAAGCATCCGAAGACCAGACAAGGAATAATGGATGGAAACTGAACAAGGAGAGATTTAACCTGGAAATAAGGAGAAACTTTCTGACAGAACAATGAACCAATGAAACAGCTTGCCCTCGGAAGTTGTGGGAGTGCCATCACCTGAGACTTTCAAGAAGAGATTGGACTGCCATTTGTCAGAAATTGTGTAGGGTCTCTCATTTGGGCAGGGAGTTGGACTAGATGACCTATAAGGCCCCTTCCAATACTGATTATCTGTTTCTGTTATAATATTTGCAGCAGAACTCCTCATATATAATCAAAAATCAGAGAACAATTGCTTCTTAGTATTCTGTCTGCAGACAGTGCAATAATTCAAGATCAGAGAGGCAGTGTGGTAGGTGGAGGAATTTTGCTAAATAAAAAGAAAATGCTGGAGATTTTTGATTATCAGCCATTCTCACATCAAAACAGCAAAAGAACATGGCTAAAGTACCTGTTTCCTCTTCTTGGCTTCTTAAATTGCTTTGTCTGAAATCTTCTTCCATGCCTGCAAATTATCCAGCCATATCATTCAGTGTAATTCTTGTTGTGATTAGACCGAACAAGGAACAAGGAAGTAGAATACAAAACTGGGCATGGATTAATGATTCTTCCAGGTAATATGCCCCAACATTGTAACCAGGCAACCAATATTTAAGAGTCCTACAAACATTCATAGATATATAAAGCTTTCACTTTAATGCACTTATTTTGAAAAGTACAGCAGCTTCAGGAATGAAAGCATGAACAAGCATTGTAGTAGAGCTTTTTGGAAATTCAGTTATTATACGTAGTATGCAGTATTAATCTAGCCATTCCCCCTTATGAATAGATCGACTTTCTTTCTGTTTTCTGTGCCATTTGCATTCTTGAGTCCAGATTGAGACACTATTGTGTTGTGGGAATTATTTGTTAAGCAACCCAGAGGCTTTGATAACAAAAGTATTAAATGTTCTTCAAAATATCACATATATCCTGATGGGGAGGGTCACCCTATGACGAGCCAGATGGAGAATCAAATAAATTCAGCTTCGTAAACAAGTGGTCTGCCAGCTTTCAGAAGAAAGGTTGACCTGAGCTCACACAAAAACTTGGCATTGAATTAGAAGATCTGTGTTACTGTTAGGATGAAAGATCTGAGAAGGGTATGGCCTGAGAAAAACCAAAAATGAAATGAATATTGATTTACTGAATGAAGCAGGGAAGTGAGATAGCTGGAGGAAATAAGGATTGGTTTACAGGTGTCAGATTGTTTTACTTAACAGATGATGGTTAGCTCTTTGGGATAAAGTCATCTGAAATTCAGCTCCTCATAGGGAGGAAGAAGAAACTACACTTCTCAATGTGGTGACCTGCTTAATGAACTTAATGATTTACAACTATAATTCTGCATTCAATTACAGTCATAAGTTGAACACTATGTACATTGTCTTTGTTTCTCTTTTCTTTCTCATGTTTCTTCTTTCCCTACCCATCCTCCTTTCCCTTCCTTTTCTCCTTTCCCTTCCCGTCCTCCTTTCCTTTTCTTCTTTCTTTCTTTCCTTTCTTTCCTCCTTTCCTTCCTCCTTTCCATTCCTTTCCATCTCTCTTTCTCTCTTTCTCTCTCTCTCTCTCTCTCTATCTATCTCTCTATCTCTCTGTCTATCATCTATCTATCCAGCAAAAGTGTTGTAAAATACAATCCTCCAACTGTTGTCCCAAGGATGCTTTTTGTTCAAGAGGCAACTGGACTTTTTGGTTTTTCTTTGAAGATGTTTTGCTTCTAATCCAAAGAGCTTCTTCAGCTCTGACTGCATGGTGGGTAATAAAAATATTACAACCTTTGATGCCAAAGTAGCTTCCTGTTTGGAAGTGTAGTTTGCATCCTTTAGATTCGTTGAGGCAACTTAGAGGTTTGTCTGTGTCCTCGGGTCACCTGAGTGGTGCAAATGACTGTGAAGTTAAACAGAATGTGAGGCAACTGGCAGTTGGAACAGAGTTCTTTTCAGGTGGGGAGGGGGAGTAGAACTCTTTAGCATCAGAGCGTGTTAATAATAATATACGAAATACTAATATTCTGATGGTCATTTCAAAAAATCCTTTCTTAGTGAGCACCTAGAAGCCAAGAGGAACATACAGCATGTGCCAAATTTCAAGTTTGTAGACTTTGCAGTTCTGGAGATTTCATGATGCTGCGTGAGTGGTATTTCGCTTTTATATATAGATTTCTATCTTACCACCCCATTAGTAAACAAGTAATTTTGTGGAATTTTTCTGCTGTAGCAGTTTTCATCACTTCCCAGAATGCTTTTTGATCAAAAATAATTTAGGAGTTTTTGAGATCCTAACAGATTTTGAACATTTATTTCATCATTGATCAAGTCTGAATCAATATCACACAAAACAAGAACATATATAGACATTATTTTCTTCCACTGTTTCTCATAATAGTAGGTGGTTTATTATCTTTTTAATCATTAGAATATTTTATAAAATCATACCATACAGAAAAAAATCTTATTTTCTTCCACTGCTTTCAATATATATGGTAATTTTTGTTAAGTGACAAAAAGACCATAATTTACTTTATCCTACCATTTTTTCTTAAGTGCTCCTGCTAGACCGACCAGTATTTTTTTTATTACAAATCCAGAAGCTATTAATAAAATAGTGTTTTTACATTTGTATTCTTACCAGAAAATAATGACAAAAGTCTCAGATGTTTTCTATATTTTTATTAGTAATTAATGCATTCTCTAGAAACGTCATATCCCCAAATAAACAGCCCTGTGCACTTGTTTTAATTAGGTGTCAATTTTTAACAGTGAGATGGTGGTAACAATCAAAAAACATTTCAATAATTTTTTTTTTCCTGAAAAGCTATAAAAGAGAAGGAATGGGTTTTCCCATATACAATTCCATTTATTTTGAGATATTGCCTTTTTAAACATCTAATTTCCATGGTTTTTTTTAAAAGTATCTCTCCAATGAATGATTGCAATAAATAAATGTGTATAATTTTCTTGTCTTGGAGAATATCCTTCTGTACCATTAAGTTTTATGCATAAATTCAAATTCTATCAATTGTCCATTTAGAGTGAATTAAAAATCTCTCATTTTTTCATGGAAACCTCAACCCACATCCATTATAACCAGATTAATGCAGTTCCTAATATAAACTTTATAAGTTCACCCAACTCTATGATGGCTCTAAAACGGTGTAAAACCAACAGCAATAAAACCAAAAACAGGGGGGGAAATGTTGGAGATTAGATAAAAATTGTCCAGGACTGTTGGATCTGGTAATGGCTTCCTGAGATAGAACCTAGGAGAATATCTGGCCTTCAAAGAGCCGTATATAATTTTCATGTATTAAAGCTATATTGAATAAATTATATATAAAACCTATATAGTAAATCTGTTACCAACTGGGAGCACCTTTGTTAAAAATACTGCTTTACATAAAGGTTTACCACTATAGGCAGCCCTTGACAAAGTTGAATCAGCCTACCATCCTTCCAAGATGGTAAAATGAGGATCCAGATTGTTGGGGGAGATATGCTGACTTTGTAAACTGCTTAGAAAGGCCCGTAAAGCACTGTTAAACGGTATATAAGTCTAAGTGCTATTGCTATTGCTGCAGTTAAGACTGGAATGTCATTTGCTAAGCGAGATGGTCATTAGGTGAGTCGTACCTGATTTTATGACTTTTTTTTGCCATGGTCATGAAGTGAATCATGCAGTCATTAAATGAATCCCGCTTCCCCCAAAATTTGATCATGTGACTGTGGGAATGCTGCATAAGTGCAAGAACAGGTTGAAAATCACTTTTTTCAGTGCTGACATAATTTCAAATGATCATTAAATGAATGGCTGTAAGTTGAGGACTATCTGGATCTTAATACTGTATTTTCTAATTTGACCCATCATTTATTTTGACCTTCCATTATTAAAGGCAACATGAGTTTAAGTTGAAATGTTTTAATGTACAATCTGAAATTTGGAACATCCCATCCTCCTTCATAATGATGTAAATATAGCAAGCTGCTTTTTTGAGACTGTTTTGAACCTATACACAATACCTCCTCTTAGTTATTGCTAATTTAAGCAATAGGTTAGCTTTCCCCAGTGATTATTTAAGACAAAAGAATACTGTCTTCTCATTCATTGGGTTCTTGTCATCTTTGCCATTCGTGGAGGGCTCCCATTGCTTTCCCAACCACCAAGAAACTCACAGCCCCCACATGAACACAATAATGCACTGAGCTCCAATAGCGAATAGTACCCTCAAAGCTACGCAAGAGGAAACCTACACACACATAGTCATAAGCCCTCATCTTCAGCAACCTGTGTGTCCAGTTAGCACAGATACGGCCAGAGGGGGAGAGATGCCTCAATAACCCATCCTCCATGGCCTCTTCAGCTACTAGGCATAATGGGATGGTAAGGAAACTAAGGTGATAGCCGGGGCGGAGTCCATGCCAGTAGGCCGAGATAGCCATAGTCCATGCATACCTAAGAAGAAAATGGTCTTGTCAGTCCTACAATCTTTTTCTTATTCCAATTCAAGCATCAATTTATCTCAGAATTCTTCCCTTGTCCCACAATCATTTCTAACACTGTCATGGTTGTTGTTAAACCTAGCTCAGTCTTTCCTACAAAACTGTTGGACTTCATCACCTAGAAGCCTCCAGCTAACACTCCAAAACTCTTCAGGTTGACTTTAAAGATATGGCGATTGAAAATTAACCTATTATAGGAGAAGGAGTAGCAGAGCCTGTGGGAGGAGACAAAAGAGGAATTAGCCTAGAGTCTCTACGTTGACACAAATGGACCCACACATGCAACCTTCTACAATGCAGTAACAAATCTGGGACTAGAACAACTAGTAACCAACAACACTAGACTTAACAACTGCCTCAATCTCATCTTCTGCAATAGTTTGAATTCAATTTACGGAATACAAATTAAAGAACCCTTTTCCAACAGTGACCACAACATGATTGATTTTTGTCTCAACATACATCCACACAAAAATCATCACAACGACAGAATCCCCTATTATAACTTCAAAAAAAAGGCAACTATGATCTTATAGACAACGATCTCTCATCCCTTGATTGGCAATTTCTATTCACTGGATGCAATACTGTAGACCATTACAACATATTTTTACTTGAAGTCAAAAGAGTCATCAAATTATATGTACCAATAACAACTCCCAAAACCAGAAAAAACAAATTACCCATAACAATAAGGAAACTTCAATCCAAAAAGAGATCACTTTGGCAGAAAAACAAATCTGGTCACATTGCCAACTTCAAAAGCCAATACAAAAATTTATGCCACCAGATAAAGACCGAATGCACCAATTATCACATTAAACAAGAAGAAAACCTTCTATGCACCAATTCCACCCACGCTTTCTACAATTTTGTAAACAACAAACTAAAAGACTCAAGGTCCATCCCACCCCTGAAAGGACCTAATGGTAAAGACTGCAACAACGACACTATTAAAGCCAACCTCTTTAACACATTCTTTGGCTCAGTATTTGTAAACAGCAACGGATCATGCCCAGTATTTCGTAGTCGAACCACAGATAACTACAATGATCTAATACATATCAATTTTACAGAAGACAATGTTGAAAAAGCACTATGCAATCTAAAACCATCTCTATCTATTGGACCGGATGGAATATGTGCCTACTTCTTAAAAAGGCTATCCACTGCCATAGCTGAACCTCTAAGCATAATTTTTGAAAAATCTTTCAGAACCAGCTCCTTGCCAAAACTATGATCACAAGCCACGGTCATCCCCATCTTCAAAAAGGGAGACCCCAGCCAAGTTGAAAATTACAGACCAATCTTTTTATGCTGCGCCATCTGTAAAGTCATGGAATCAATTATTAACCAATCCATCATCCTCCACTTAGAAACAAACAACCTACTCTCTAATAAACAATTTGGTTTCAGGAAAAAACTATCCTGTAATCTGCAACTCTTACACTGCAAAAACATATGGACTATACAACTCCATCAAGGCAAAGCAATAGACTTCTGTAAAGCCTTTGGTTCAGTGGTACACGACAAACTACTCCTAAAACTAAAACCTTACGGTATCTCTGGACACCTGCATAACTGGGTAGAAGCATTCCTGTCAAACAGATAACAAATGGTCAAAATTGGGTGTGTCCTATCAAATTCTGTACCTATCAACAGTGGTGTCCCCCCAAGGCAGTGTTCTAGGGCCAACTCTTTTCATACTCTGCATAAATGACCTCTGTGATCATATCAAGAGCAACTGCATTCTCTTCGCTGAGGATTTAAAGCTATTCAACACCACAGACAATACTGCTACCCTTCAAAAAGACCTTGACTATGTATCAGAATGGTCAAACAAATGGCAACTTCAAATCACAACAAATAAATGCTCTGTCCTACATATTGGTAAAAAATTCAGAAAATAAAATACAGGCTGAATAGTCAAGACCTTGTTGACGATCCAAACCCTGTAAAGGATCTTGAGTACTCATCTCTAATGACCTAAGTGCTAGAGCCCACTGTAACTACATAGCCAAAAAGGCATTAAGAGTTGTTAACCTAATCCTACGTAGCTTTTTCTCTGGTAATATCACACTACTAACTAGAGCATACAAAACATTCGCTAGACCAATACTCGAATACAGCTCATCAGTCTGGAATCCACATTATGTATCTGATATTAACACAGTTGAGAAAGTCCAGAAATATTTCACAAGAAGAGTTCTCCACTCCTCTACTAGTTGCAGAATACCTTATGCCACCAGACTTGAAAATCTAGACCTAGAAAACCTAGAACTACGCCGCCTTCGGTCCGATCTAAGTATAGTATATAAAATCATACATTGCAATGTCCTACCAGTCAATGAATACTTTAGCTTCAACCATAACAATACAAGAGCACACAGTAGATACAACCTCAAGGTTAATCGCACCAAACTTGATTGCAGGAAATACAACTTCAGCAACAGAGTGGTCAATGTCTGGAATACTCTACCTGGCTCTGTGGTTTCTTCCCCAAACCCCAAAAACTTTAACCTTAGACTATCTACTATTGACCTCACCCCTTTCCTAAGAGGTCTGTAGGGGGCGTGCATAAGCGCACCAACGTGCCTACCGTCCCTGTCCAATTGTTTCTTTTATTCTTCTTATATGTATCCATGTATTCATAACTATGTTTTTACTTATACCTATTATCTTGTAAGCAATTGACAAACCAAATACATAAATAAATAAATAAAATAAGTCCAACTCTGCTTGAATTCCACTAACCCTTATCTAGCATTAAAATAGTGCTATTTGTTAGTTGATTATATTGCTGGGCATAGGCATGAGCAATAAATCAGCTTAATGGAAACTTAACATGTAACTCTGGTCTTTCATGCCTAACACCTAAATAGAAGACATAAGTTTGGGAAATGATTATTTATGCAACTTTCATTCAAGCCCAAAGCACTTTGTGAGTTCTCTTAAACTCTATTTGGTTTTCTCATTTCCCCTTTTTTCAGTTACAGGTTGCTGCTTATGTCCCTTCCCAAATTTATCTAATCACCCACATTTTCCATGCATATAGTCCATATTAACCAGTGCCCTCTACTTTATAATATCTCTGTCAACTACTTCATTTTTCATCCCCTTAATTTATTGGTTTAACAACTGAAACCAATCATCTTTTTGTGCTACATTTTTATTGCTGCTTCCCACAATTCTCATTTACATATTCATATCAGACCCAATTAGTCCCACAATCCTGAATCCCTTTTTCCCTTCAGATCTGCATCATTGAAGAGCCTTCCTTGCTTGCCTTCAAAACAACCAATCACTGTCTAGAACATTGCTTCTCAAACTTGGCGACTTTTAAGATACGTGGACTTCAACTCCTACAGTTCTGGGAGTTGAAGTCCACACATGTTAAAGGTGTCAAATCTGAGAAATATTAGTCCAGAATTATCTTTTCCAACTTCTCCATAAAACAGTTCCACATCAACCCACTTACCTCACTTCAGCTTTCATTTGCCCTAAGTGTTCTTTTATTTTAATACAATTTCACGTGACTCACCTTATGGCACGGGGAAGGAAAGACACATTTTTGTAGGTGTATTGGTAAAACCACCATTGGACAGTCATGTTCCAACAGTGAATGCCATCCTTCACCTTGATACAAAATTCTGTACCGTATGGATCAATGTTTCTGATTGTCTCATAATCATAGGCAACACATCCAGTTTCCACATCAGCTAACCTGCTTGTTCAAAAAAAGAGAAAGAAAATCTTTTATATAGGTTTTTCACTCTGGAACTGACTGGAGACATGCAGCATTCTAACACTGGAATGACCAGAAAGACTTGAGTTAATACAATTTTTAAAAATTGTCATTTGATTTAAATAGCTTACCTTCTAGACGGCAAAAGGGTGCAGACCAGACCTCTGTATAAAATACCTACAGGGTTATAGTCTTCTGAACCAAGAAAGGATCAACATTTTCATAAAATAATATTTTTTTTCATTTATATCTTGCTTTTATTATTTTTTATAAATAACTCAAGATGGCAAACATATCTAATATTCCTTCCTCCTCGTATTTTCACCACATAACAATGCTGTGAGGTGAATTGGGTTGAGAGAGGGACTGGCCCACAGTCCCGCAGTTGGTTTTCATGCCTAAATGGCACTAGAACTCACCATCTCCTAGTGATTGGCCCAAAGTCCCCCAGCCGGTCTCCTGGCTTGTAGCCTGGTGCCTTAACCACAAAAATTAATGTTTTTCTAAATTTAGGGTTCATTCATGCATCCCCTAAATTGCCCTGTGAAAATGTCTTAGGCATCTAAAGCATAATGACATGACCTCATGATACAGTCTTCATCATAGAATCTCCAATCCAAATGCTCAGGCTGCATTTATCTGATCCACTTATTCATGAGGTATTTTCTGTCTTCTTTCAACATCGCCTCCAAGGCAGATCAAGTTCTGACCAGTGACAAAACCCCTGGTCAAAAAACCTGTCAAAACTCATTCCAGCCTCAGCCCAAATTAAGAAGAGTGATGGATGGATGTTTTTCTTGCCTGCACAAAATCCACCAGGACTAGTTAAGGAAAATACATTAGGGCATATGCTGGTTTTAGTATCAGGCAGAACAGAAATCAGTAGATGGCAGAGAGCTAATAATGCTTATTCTTTTGTGCCACAGCTGTCAGAATGTATCTTTAATCTACTCTATTCAGACAGTCCTCCACTTGCAATCACAATTGGCCAAATTTATGTTGCTAAGCAAGGCAGGTGTTTAAATGAGTTGCACCCAATTTTGCAACCTTTTTGCTACAGTTGTTAACCGAACAACTTGCAACTGTTAAGTGAATCACACCATTGTTAACAAATCAACTTTCCCCTTGATTTTACTTGTGAAAAGAAGCTCCCTGAGAAGTCGCAAATGGTGATCACATGATCCTGAAACACTACAATAATTAGCTGGTTGCCAGGCATCCAAATTTTGATCACATGACTGTGGGGATGTTGCAATGATCCTAAGTGCAAGTGTTGTGACCTGCCAGCTGCCAGCAGAGCTGGCGGCAGACTCAGATGATGAGGAGGTTGGGGAGGAACTTTGGCCAGTTCTGGAGTCTAGGATGCTCTATGTCAGATGCAGAGATAGAGCCAGGGTCATCCGACATTTCCACCGGAGAGGCAGCTACCTTTGGCGGCTAATATGAGTGAGGAGGAAGAACAGCTGGAGCCTGTTCCAGACACATGTATGCGCAGAGCTGTTAGGAGAAGGGAACAATGGAGGACAAGGAGTCGACTCGGGAGGCAAAGCATACATGAACGCTGAATGGCCCCTCCCTGCTGGGGAATAAATAGAAGGAAAGGGGAGTGGTTGTTATAGGAGACAACAGTTCATATTTCTGAAGATTTTGCTCTTTGTGTTTTGTGCCACAGAGACTTCTTGCTGGAACTTAATTTGCAGCCTGGGAGCTCGCAAGGAACTGATAAGGTCTGTTGCTGCTGTTAACTCTTTGAAGACTATTGCCTGGACTTTTCAGTGGGTGAATGCAATTAATTCACAAGAGGTAAATAAAGAGAGGTTTTTCGTGACAAGGAGTCTGTTTCTTGCTTCTACTAAGGCTGGGTCAGAACAGCAAGGACCACTTGTAAGTCATTGTTTTCAGTGCTAATGTAACTTTAAATAGTTGTTAACAAATGGTTGTAAGTCAAGGACTACCTATACGGTTAGTCCTCGACTTACGACCACAGATGAGCCCCAAATCTCCCACTACTAAACAAGGCAGTTGTTAAGTGAGTTTTGATCTATTTTACCGACCATGTTTGCCACAATATTAAGTGAATGACTGCAGTTGTTACATGAATCATATGGTCATAAAGTGAATCTAACTTCTCCCATTAACTTTGCTGGTTGGGAAGATTATTAATTACACATGATTCTGGGATAGGGCAACGGTCACAAATATATGCCAGTTGCTAAGTGCCCAAATTTTGATTACATGACCATGGTTGTGGTGCAATGGTCATAAGTGTGAAAAATGGTCATGAGTCACTTTTTTTCAGTGCTGTTGTATCTTCAAATGGTCAGTAAATGAATGGTTGCAATGTCAGGGCTAAAGGGTTGTTTTTTTCTTTTTAGCCAAGGAAGCGAATGTTTTCTAAACTCACCGGTTTAGAGATAGGTATTCCACAGTTGGTCCTCTGCCTGGTTTTGAATTGGCCCAAGTTGGATACGCTCCAAGGCCCGCAGTGATGCAGGCGCTCTCAGCACCATACCAGGTTATGTAGTTACGCACGCGGAAGACAAAGGAAACTGGCATCATGTAGAAAAGCCGGAAATAGAGCCCTTTTTCATAGAAGGCAACATTTTCCACAAATTCAGGGGGGCAGATGTAGGAGACAGCCAAAAATGTAGTGGCGAAGACAGGCATCATCACCAATCTGTAAAGCAGCGGCTTCCATGTAGGAATTTCAGAAGGATTGGGCTGATTCAACCAATCATGATATGTACGATAGCGATAAAATAAGCCTGGATTTTAAAAACACAGAAAAGAAAGCAATTAAAAAAAAAACATACAAGGGGCGGGCAATGAATAACTAATGATTTGCCACCTCAGGAATTCTAGGAGTTGAAGAACACAGGTCATCAAGTTGCCATAACTGTCCACCCCTGGTATAAGAGAATATGCAAAATTTTAATAATCCGGAATATTTGTGGCTTTTTCCACAACATCAATTCCCTTAATTCAGAGCCAGTATCTTGGTTGGGAATTATGGGAAACAGCATCCAACATATTTAGAGAGCTTATATTTTGGAAAGACTTTGGTAAGGTTGTGTATGATTTTGGAAAGAATGCCAGGATTTCCTAAGAGCACAACTCTGTTTTTCTCAAGGATTTGGCAACAGAAACAATCTCTGTTGCTTTAACTTTTTTCTATGAGTTTCTCACAAAGCAAAAAAAAAAAAAAAAAGCTATAAAGGTGGAAAATTGATGAAAGACATACAGACTAATACAGAGGTCTTCAACCCCAGTCCGTGGACAGGCACCGGGCCACAACATGCCAGAAACCGGATCATGGAAACATGTGAAGCCTCATCCGCGGGATGCAGGCAGCATATGAAACCACGTTCCCTCCGGTCCCCAGAAAAAACTCTCTCCACAGAACTGGTCCCTGGTGCCCAAAAGGTTGGTGGCTGCTGGACTAGTAGAAAGTATAGTCTTTTTTTTTCCTGATAAGCAAGGTAATGTCCAACACACTTCTGTAAAAATAGAGGGAGTCCTTGATTTACAGCCAATCACTTAACTAAAATCTGAAGTTACAACAGATTTCCTCAAAGCTACTTACAACCCATTTTCAAAGTTATGATGACCATGTACGCACACCCAGCCACGATTCTGTTTGGGCACTTGGCAACTAGCTGACCTTTTCAACTGTTTGCAACGTCCATTGAAAAGGCAAGCTAGTTTCCAAATGAATCTTGTAACTGGGTTGTGTGTATGCAGCCATTGCTTAATGATGTGGCATTCACCTAATAACTGATACAATAATTGTCAAAAATTTGGATCTGGTTATGTCTCAACTTATTACCACAGTAATGATCATAATGGCTTAAATTATGACCATAAGTTGAGAAGGACCTGTAATAGAACCCACGCTTACACTAAATGATGAGGCACAACACCAAAATCAACAGAAAGCTGACATAAGAAGCAGACAAGAGGGCAAAGCTCTACCTTTTCCTTTAAAAAGAAGTCTTGTTACCAAGAATAGCTCTTCAGCCCAAGATCTTCTCTTATTGATAACAGAACAATAGAGTTGGAAGGGACCTTGGAGGTCTAATTCAACCCCCTGCAGGAGATCTTGGCCTAGACCATTTTGGACAAATATCTGTCCAATCTCTTTCAAACAACCTACAACGATGGTGCACCCACAACATCTGAAGGCAAGTTGTCCCACTGAATAATTGTTCTAACTGTCAGGAAATTTATTCTTCGTTCTAGGTTGAATCTCTCTTTGATAAGTTTCCATCCATTACTTACAGTATCTTGCCATCATATGGTGTTCGGCTTGGTTCGGGTATTTTCCCACGTCATTGTAGTTCTTTTAAAGTTGTAGCAACGTTTCAGCAGAATCTCATCTGCCATCATCAGGCTTCTG